AGGGGCTCGGGCGGGGCGCGCCCGGGGAGGGAGGCCCGGAGCCCCGGGGCGGGGGGGCGGAGGCTGTCCTGTCTCTGGCCTCTCGGGGCTTTCGCCAGATCCTCAGAACGCTCAGTTCTAGGTGAAGCTGAGGTCCGAGTTCCTGTTTCGGTTTCCTGTTTTTCTTCTTTTTTCTCCCAAACCAACTTTTGGAAGTTTGAGTGTTTTTTCTTTCTTTTGCTTATAACCGTAGAAGATAGCGAAAAAGAACTCTTTTCGCGGTAAAAAAAAAAAAACATGTGAATGTCAATTTATCTCTTTCCATGCCTTTTATTTGCGTTAAGTGGTATTTTTCAGTGATGTCCTGTAGTTTCCAGTGCACCTAGAAAGGTTTCAAAAATTACAGCAAGTATGTTTCAAATTTTATTTCATAAAATTGAGTTGTTTCATTTTAACTTAGAAGTCTAACCAAAAAAACGGTAACAAATTCATTTCACGCAGCAAAATTTACAGGCCAAACTATTTTAGTAAAACTGTTTAAGATTACTGCAAATTGGCCATCTGTTTCTTATCTTTGGTGGTATTAATCTGTATAGGTGGTAAGAGATACTGGGACATACTGCTTGTGAATTTGCTTTTTTTTTTTAAATGTAGTTTTCTCAAAATGTGAATGTAATTTTAAAAAATTACATATGAATTTTGCTTAATTTTACAAAGACAGACAAATTAGTTGTAATTAGGCTTTATAAGCCCCTCAAAGAAACGTGGGCTTAATTCAGGATGCTTAGCAGTTTTTCACAAAACGTTCCTTAAGTTATTAGCTCTCATATAGCATAAAAAAGCAGTCCTGATGGTTGTGACAAAATCCTTCAACTTTTCTATGGAGAGGATTCTGTATTTGTTGTTAAAGAATGAACTGCGCCTTGTCATGTATGAAATTTTATGGACAGAAGTTCCCTATTCTACTATCTGCAAAATAATTGGAATGAAAATATGATTTGGATTTGAAAGCAGGTCAAACAGGAGAATGATCTGATTCACTCAAAGACATTTTCTACATACCAGGAACTGTGATAGGTATTAAGGATACAAAGATAAAACAAGAAATTCAGTCTGTTGGAAGAGATAAGCATGTAAACAGGTTTTTAGAATTATACTCTTGGAGAATCACCGTGGAGTTCTTATTTTAAATCTTTTTGTTTTAACTTTTTCCAATTTTAAAACTGTTACCAGCAAGGAGATTTAATGTTATTGCAGGTTTTCCCAAACAAACTAAATGAATAATTCATTGGCATGTTTTTCTGGTGGTGTCATTAAGAAATCATTTGGTGGTTAAATGCAGCTTTGGGCATTTCCCATGTAATTGAGAATTAGAGATTTACTTGGGATTTTGAGGATCTTAAGCAGTTTTAAAAATTTAAGGTGTAGGGAAAAGAAGACTTCTCTGTGCTTGGTTTACATTAATTTTTGAAATACGAATGATATCTAGACAAATTGTTGCTAGATTGATGCTATAATGAAGTAGGAACCTTAATGAACTAAATTGATCCACCTGATTCAGAGCATTAGTTGCAAAATAAGGGAGAATATGAAGCTAGGTCTTTATCCTTAATAGGTCAGAACGTACTTCATCTTAGAGTTGCTTCATATTGCTAATTTGAGGAGAGAAAAACTTTACTTTTTTTAGAAGACAATGATTGAATAAAGTAATTCATATCAATAAAAGAAACTGAGTTGGAGTTGAATTTGCTGCCTTCGGAATAATGATGAATTCTTATGTATAAGGTGGAATATTTACTTCCATTAATTTTGATGACCAGGCATACCTTTATTGTCCAGTTTATTCCAGTGAATTCCTAGAGTCATCAATTGACGTGTAAATTCTATAAATATCAACACAGTATTTTGTACTTAGTGTTCTTTACTGGCTTTTCCAACTCTTACAATTAAATAATTAAAGCAAAATATCTTGGGAAGTTTGGGGCATCTCAGGAATAATATGATGAAATGGGTCTAGAACCATTTAAAAACATAATTTATGTTTTTAGACATAGTTTACTATGTGTAGAATTAAGCATTACATTTTAAAATTTTGCTTCTATGACAATGCAGATTTTTGCACCTAAATCAGGTCATTTTTTTCCACGAAAAGTTGTTTATGACTAAGACATAAAATCAGAACATTGAGATGTCAAAGGCATTATTCATATTAGATTACGGGGTAAATTGTATAGTGACTTTTTTGCAGTACTTAAAGTTATGGTTTTAAGATTGTATCTCTATCTACTGCTTTTACAGTCATTTTATCTATTTGGAAAAGATTGAAAGCTCAATTATTGTTTAACTTTGAAGCTATTTTCAAGAAGTTCAGACATTCCAAAGTAATACATTAACAATGCTTAGTATCTACTTTGCTATGACTTTTGAGATTATTTGAAGTAAATGTCTTGTAATTCATTACTTATACTTCTCACAAACTGTTTTAAAATTAAATTTAGAAATCCATGCTGAAGTCCAGCTTAAGAATTATGGGAAATTTCTTGAGGAGTATACCTCTCAATTAAGAAGAATTGAGGACGCACTGGATGATTCAATTGGAGATGTTTGGGATTTCAATCTTGATCCTATAGCATTAAAGGTTTGATTTTGGTTTTATTTTTTAATTTATGTATGTATATTTAGGATGTGGTATATCTTAAAAACAATTTTTAAAAATGAGATACGTATTTTTTATTATTTGGAATCTAGAGAACTAAAAGAAACTTGGAGAAAAATGGTTAATTTTCTTTTCTCTAAGCCATGCATGTGTTTTTGTTTTTAAAAATAATGACACAAACTCCAAGTCTTTAGTGTCAAAGAATGATACAAACTCCACCTCTTTGAGCTAGCTTTTGTTTTTCATTATCAAGAAAATGGAGAGGGTTGAAATAGAATGTCCAGGCTTTGTTTTGTATTGAGGTTATTTTGTATACAGTGAAAGGCATAAATTTAAAATACACCATTCAGTGAGTTTTGCCAAAAGCCTATTCTCATGTAACTCATATCCCAATCGAGATACAGAATATTTCCATCATTTCCCAAAATCTCCCTTGTACTATTCAGAGGATATTAATATGGCAGTGATTTTTTTTAATGTATGAAATAAGTCACTCTTGCTCTGTTCCATTTTGAGGTAGTTTTATTTTATCTTTCAAATTATAGCCTGTTACCACTTAAGTAATAACTAACATTTATTGAGCATTTATTATGTGCTAGACAAAGTCCTAAGTCTCATATTGACTTTTTAAATAACAGCTTTCTTGTGATGTAATGCACATGTAACACAGTTCTTTGGGTTTAGTGTGTTCACAGAATTGTGCCACCATTACAAGAGTTGATTTTAGAACTTTTAACCACCCCAAAAAGAAATCCTGTATCCCTTTGCAGTCACTCCCTGTCTGATGTGGTGCTAGTGCTGAGTACAGGGTCTAACATCTAGAATAGAGTTAGTCTCAATTTGTATATCTAAAATTTTAATGTTTTTTTTTCAAATTATGAAGAAATTTTATTTTCCTTTGTTTTTTTAGCTTTTGCCTTATGAACAGTCTTCCCTTTTGGAACTCATTAAGACGGAAAACAAGGTACAGATTCCCAAACCTAAATACCTGTTTCTAAAATACTTCAGTTATCTGGTATAATTTACTTTTTTCCTTTTGTGTTTTTACTCATGAATCTAGGTCTTAAACAAAGTCATCACTGTTTATGCTGCACTTTGTTGTGAAATCAAGAAATTAAAATACGAGGTAATTATTTGTACTCTTAAGACATTAAAAACATGATTTAAAAGCAAATATGTGCTTACATGTGTACAGTGTGCATAAATATTTATTGAATGTTGAATGAGGTGTTTATTTATAATAATAATAATAATAGTACCATTCACTGAGTATTTAAAAACACTCTGCTA